GAATCCACCTCCTAGATTTAATGTGCATGCATATTTTACTTTACTTTGGGTTCTTTTGTTCGAAATCGAAAAGCACATCGGACACAGCTAAAGCCTCCCATACTATTCCCCACTCAAGCGATAGCACCTCTGACTACTGTGCAACGCCCACACTGCTGCGCGCCCATCACCACTGACCCTTTCCTCTGCGTATACCGTAAACCAGTGTGGCAACCCTTTGGCACATGTGCTGCTGTAGGGTATTTGTTATTGAAATCTCTAAAAGGTTTGCCACCACTGCCATGGAGACCTCATTTGACAGATTTTGGGTTGTTGTGAATTTCAGACATTATTTCACTATGTAGTTCAGGCTGGCCTTGAACTATGTAGCCCAGGTTGGCCTTGAACTTGTCAGTGATCCTCCTGCCTCAGCCTTCCAAGCACTGGGATTACAGGCCTACGCCACCATGTGCAGCATTTGTTGTTGTTGTTGTTTTGTTTTGTTTTCTGGTCTCTCTGTGTAGCCCAGGCTGGTCTCCATCATGCAGTGATCCTCCTGTCTCAGCCTCCTAGATAATGGGATTATAGGTTTGTACCACCATGCCTGGCGGGTTTTTAAAATGTATGCAATCTTCTGCAATTTGCTTTTTTCCAGTGCATGTGATATTTAGAGATATACAGAAGGACTGGGTAAATCTAACCAGAATTTTCCTCCATCACAGGCTGCCCACAACAGTCAAAATGAAAATCCAGACAGCACCATCAGCACCTTTGGCTTTATGCATACCTTAGACATTCCAGCCACTTCATAGTTTTTTGTTTTGTTTTGTTTTCAGTGCTAGGGACTGAACCCAAAGCCTCCCCCATAGTAGGCAAGCATTCTACCACTGAGCTATACCCCCAGCCCTTTTATTTCTTGAGACAAGGTCTCACTAAACTACCCAGACTAGCCTCAAACTTGGGATCTTCCTGCCTCAGCCTCCCAGAGTGCTAGAATGACAGGCATGTGCCACTGAGCCTGGCTAATGTCTTTTAATGCCAGCCAGTGGTTGCACACTCAAGTGGGTTGAACCCCAAGGAGCAACCACAGACAGGCTCAGAGAGATAAACTAATCTACCTTGAGTCACACAACTGTTTAGTCAATGACAATGCCAGGATTCAGTTCTGGCCCTGTCCAAAGTATACACACCTATGACACCATTACCTACAAGTCTACTTTCTCCTTCACTGTCACCTTCCTACACAGTTTTTACTCCAAACAATTTCTTTCTGACCTCAAGTCTATTTCCAGAACTTTCATTCTAACTGGGCATAGTGGCACAAATCTGTTATTCCAGTGTTCAAGAGGTGGAGGATCACCTCAAGTTCAAGGCCAGCCTAAACGGCAAAGTAAGACCTTGTCTCGAAAAACAGGGCAGTGGATTCAGCTCAGTGGTTCCACCACCTGCCTTGCAAGTGTAAGGTTCCAAATTCAATCCCTGGTACCAAAACAAACAAAAACAAAAATTAAAAAAAAAAAAAAAATCCAGAACTTTCATTCTTATACTTCGAGAAGAAACCAATGCAGGAACTTGCCAAAGACAAGGTGACAGATAAGTCTAACATTATTTGCAAGATGGACACCAGAGGGCTATTCTTGTCAGGCTTGGTGGTGTTCGCATATAATCCCAATATTCTGGGAGGCTCAGGCAGGAGGATTACAAGTTCCAGCCCAGTTTAGACAATTTAGCAATTAATGAGACCCTGTGTCAAAAAAATTATTTTAGCCGGGCATGGTGGTGCACATGTGTAATCCCAGCACTTGGGAGGCTGAGGCAGGAGGATCGCTGTGAGTTCAAGACCAGCCTGGGCTACATAGTGAGTTCCAGGTCAGTGTCAACTACACATTGAGACCCTGTCTCAAAAAAACAACCAAAAAAAATTTTTTTTAATTTTATTTAAAGGAGGCCTGAGGCTGGGGATTTAGCTCAGTGGTTCTGCTGTCTGCTTCGCAAGCGCAAGGTCCCAAGTTCAATCCCTGATACCAAATAAAAGGAGGACTGAAGATGAAGCTCAATGCAAAACCTCTGGGTTTAATCCCCAGTATGAAACAGGAAGGAAAGGAGGGAGGAGGAGGCCAGTTCCCCATGAGGAGATGGCAGATCTCATCTCATCCAGGTACTCAGCTGCAGGAACGGAGCACTGGCCTGAGCTCCCGCAAGCTGTGAGTGGATTGATTTCCTAGGAATTCACAGGCTCATTTACAAGATGCATTGGCTGTTTCTCCAGCTGTTACTGGGATCAGCACTTCCTGTCCCATCTGCAGGAGAAACAGCAATTAAAAAAAGCCTGCAGTAGCCCAGGACAAGCAGTTCTCTCACCGACCTTGCTCTGACCCCAAGATAATCCCAAGGCCTGCTTTAGCCTTCCAAGGGGCTGGCTCCAGCCAACACTCAAAATTGACCTGTTCTATGGGCTGGGCGTGGGGGCACTTGAGAGGCATCCCAGCACTTGAGAGGCTCACACAGGACGATCACCCCAAGTGTGATGCCAGCCTGTACTACACAGTGAGTTCAAAACCAGCATGAACTACACAGCAAGAACCCGTAAAAAAAAAAAAAAAAAAAAAAAAAAAAAAAACTTGAAGGCAAAGGATGAGCTTAGTCCCTAACAAAAATGTACCCTTGATGCAGATAATTGAAACCTTTTCCTAAACCACCAGGTAAATGTGAGTAAAAGTGTCTCTTGTATTTTGATTGGCCTGCACCAAGCCCTTGGAGTAAACCAACCTGTCTGTTGGGCAAACTGGGTCAGAAGACAACTCCGCCCATGGGGAAACTCACTTAGCTCTCTTGAGTATCTGGCACCCATTACCAGATGATGGTAACAAAGAACACAGTAAAACAATGGTTTGTTTCTCCCCAAGGTCACTTTGGTTAGTGTTTTGCTTTGAGGTGCTAAGGATGTAACCTAGGACTTGTGCATGCTTGGCAAGTGCTCTGCCATGAAGCTACACCCCCAGCCCCTCCAAGGTTACCCTTAACAGTGACTGGGGCGCTCCCTTCCTGTGGCAATGAAAAAGTTCACTAAGGTAGAGCAGGTTCTCCAGTACAAGCCACCACCCTAAAGCTGGGCCCAGCGTCCTGGAACAAAAATGCCCACTCTCAGAAGTCTACTTTACCTAATTCTTAACAAGCAAAATTCAACTTCCCTCCACTGAGAAGTCCCCAGAGCAGTCTGATCTGTACAGCAAGTACTGCCAAAGGGGCGCAGGGGCAGTTACTGTTAAATGGTGCAAGAGAAAGAGAAGAGTTCTGCAGACGGCTGGCGGCAATGGCTACAGAAAAACGTGAATGTACTTTAAGACCACTGAACTGGACACTTCAAAATGGTTAGGACAGACCTGATGTATCTTTTGCCACAATTTTTCAAATCTCAGAGGAGAAGAAAACAAGAAATCTACACAAAATGCCTCAGCTGGGGATTTAGCTCAGTGGTTCCACCACCTGCCTCACAAGTGCAAGGTCCCAAATTTGATCCCCACCCCACCCCCGTACCAAAAAAAAAAAAAAAAAAAAAAAAAAAAAAGCCTCAACTTGCTAGTTTTCATTTAAGGATCTGCATGGTAAAGTGACTAAAAATTCTCTTTGGAGTGCTGGTTCCCTCTCTCTTTTCCCAACATCTTGGCTGGGGGCCTTTGGAAAAGTCACTTGACATCTCTAAGACCTTTATTCAGCTACATAAATGGGGAGTGTAATAGTGTCCTACCTTACAAGGCCATAAAGATTTAAATAAGGTGACATAAGCCGAGAGTGGTGGCGCACGCCTGTAATCCCAGCACTCGGGAGGCTGAGGCAGGAGGATCACTCTGAGTTCGAGACCAGCCTGGGCTACACAGTGAGTTCCAGGTCAGTCTCAACTACACACTGAGACCCTGTCTCAAAAAATAAATAAATAAATAAGGTGACATAGGGCCAGGGATTTAGATCAGTGGCACCGCTCCTGCCTTGCAAGTGCAAGGTCCAGAGTTCGATCCCCAGTGCCGGAAAGGAAAAAAAGAAAAAGAAAGAGAGAGAAAGAAAATTACACATTGTACAAGAGCAACCACTTGCTAAATTGTTATTATAAAGGTTAATATATTAGTTTAATGATAGTGATTTAGTCATCAATAGCTGATAGTCATCAATACTATCAGCTAAGACTATAAGCACATTGGAAGGTTTCGTTTTAAGGGAAAAACAGATTCAAGTTAGGAGTCAAAGACTTGGGCTTCAAGAGTGACTGTGGCATAAGATCTCTCCGTGGTGATTACACACGAGGCTGCATCTCCTTCGCTGAGCTTCTGGGCGAGCTTCCCGAGTGAAGACGGGGTGCAAAGGTCACCCAGGAGAGGGCTAAATGTCTCCCCGAGGGGTTGGCAAGTGCAAGATCTGTGCAAGATTCCCTCAGGTTCCGACTATGCAAATCTGTCCGCTGGGAAAACTGAAAGCAACCTGTAAGCTTTCACCAGGCCCTACAGAGACCCCAAGAAAAGGCACCCCCAAAACAGCCTGGGTTGCAGATTTATAAATACCTCCTCCGCACATGCGCACTGGATTTTACGTGTGGCCGCGGGGCGCAGCGAGCGCTCACTGCGCCTGCGCTATCCGGTTCTCCCTCTGAAGCAGCAAACGAAAAGGTGGTGGGTCCTAGGTCCCGCAAAGAAAAACGAATAATAATGCGGTGGCCACTCGGTCACTGCTTCCTCTTTTCTTACCTCATAGTGTTTCATGGCTCCTTTACTCGCTGGTTCCTGCTCCGGCTGCTGCTGGTTACCTGCGCCGGACACTACAGGATTGCTCAAAGTGTTCGCGACTGTCTCCTCAGACTTAACTGCGATCCGCGTCTGCCCCGCCCCTCCGGCCCCGCGCGCCCCGCTAGCCAATCAGTACTGGGAGTGCCCACGCCCCGCCTTGCTCCGAAGGGCCGGCATGATCAAAGACCAGCGGCTCGCACCACGGGACTAACCAATCACCTTTCGGGATCCACTGAGGAGGTGGAGCAAGGGCAGGAGGGCCTAAAAGAAGGAGCTTGACCAGCCACCAATCAAAAGGGAGTTTCGGCTCCTCCGACTCCTTTGCCCCGCCCCCTTGGGGCGTCTCTGTGGAAACGAAGAGAAGCGGTGGTTACTACACCTGGAAGGGGCGGGAGCAAAAAGTTGAGTGACAGGAAGGGCAGCGTCCACCTGGTGGGCTGTGCGGCTGCGTAAATTTCGAGGTGGGCTGCGCAGCGGTGCAGGGGAGCGGCGCCTGGGCGCGGGCGGGCGTCCTCCCTCGGTCACGAGTGGACGGGAAGGAAAGGAGGTGACGTCAGGCTCCCTGGGACCTCAGCCTGCAACCTGAGCCAACCCCATTCTAGGGCTGTTTCCATTGCCTTCGGTGCTGTCCTCCCCGCCTAGCTCGGCCTCCACGCAGAGGGTCCGGTGTGTCTCTGGGCATCGTCCGGTGTGGTCGCTACTGCGTTGTGGTCATCCTGAGCCCGGAAGTGTAGAGGGTCTAAACTGAGAGCGCTGTCGGTGTCAGACACATCCTTCATATCAGATACCATACAGTGCTGCTAATGTCAGACGTGCGATGAAAAGGTGAATGTAAGAAAATTATCTCATAACTTTTTATGTTGATTACACTTTGAAATAATTCTTTTTCGATACTGGGAATTGAAGGGAGGGAGCACTGAGCTATATCCCGAGCCATTTGCATTTATTCATTTTGATAGAGGTTTCCCAGCCAGACATGGTGGCACACTCCTGCAATCTCAGCACTCAGTAAGCTGAGGCAGGAGGATCGCCAGAAGTTCAAGGCCTGCCTGGGCTACTCAGTGAGTTCAAGCCTAACATGGACTACGCAGTGAGACCTTCAAAAACCTCAAAGGAAAAGAAAAAAGCAAGAAAGAAATAGGGTGTCATTAAGCTGCCCAGGCTGGCCTCGAACTTGTGATCCTCAGGTCTCAACCTCCCAGGGAACTGAGATTTAAGTGATAATACACTTTTATGTATTGGATTGAAATGCATTATTAAAATTAAATTTTCTGGTTTCTTATTACTTTATTAATGTGCCTATTTGCACCTTTTTTTTGTACTGAGGATCGAACTTGGGACCTTATGCTTGCAGAGGCAGGTGGTGGAACCACTGAGCTAAATCTCAGCCCTACATCTGTTTCCTTCTTTTTCTTTTCAATGCTTGGGAATCAACTCAAGTCTTCTTGCATACTAGGCAGGCATTCCACCATTTCTCGTCAGCCTCCTATTTGACGATTTAACATCACAGATACTGTATATTCATGGCTCCCAAATTCTGATGAACATTGTTGGCCTGGGGTCATGTCTATACTCCATCATGACCTACTGGAAGATTAAGCATACAACACACACACACACACACACGCGCGCGCGCGCGCTCACTCAAAACTTCAGGACAGCTGCGCATGGTGGTACACATCTGTGATCCCAGCTACTTGGGAGGCTGAGATGGGAGGATTATAATTTTTGAGCCCAGCCTGGGGAACTTAGGAAGACCTTGTCTCAAAATAAATTTGAAAAGGAATAGGGGTGTAGCTCATTACTGGAGCCCTTGCCAAGAGGTTCCATTTCCAGTACCACCAAAAAAAAAAAAAGACAGAACCTAACTCACTTCTTCACCTTTTCTCTTTCTCTTTTTTTAGACCCTGGCCTTGGCCTTGAGCCTCCATCTTGAGTTCCTCTGGAACTCAGAGGCCTGGCTCAGGTCACCTTGAGATGTCCTTAAAGGAAGAGCTCTGAGTCAGAGATCCAGGTTGGGGCCAAGGTGAGTGAGTACTGGGGACTTAGTCATCCAGACTCTGCTTGAGAAACTTCTCACGCTGATGCCTTTGAGAATTCTCATCCCTGGAGTCTGGGAAGCCAAGGCCATGATCTTCAAAAACTCATTCTCTTTTTCACTCAGGCTCGCTGGGCAAAAACAGGTGAAACCTAAAGATGTTCTATTTTTTTGCGGGGGAGTTGGCAGAACTGAGGATTGCATTGTGCCGCATCCCCAGCCCTTTTTATTTTGGGGGAAATTCTTGCCAACTTGCCCAGGCCAGCCTTGAACTTTTGATCCTCCTGCCTTAGCCTCCCTTGTAGGCAGGATCACAGGTGTGTGCCACTGTGCTGGCTAAAACTGAAGGCTTTTTTCTGTTGGCAGTTGCGGCATCTATCCTAAGGCTTTTTCTGTCCCAGTAGGCCTCACTCACTGCCCCTTTTGGGATGTGAAGGGTTAGTATTTACCCAGAGGCCACAGGATTAAACCTACCAAGTTGAGTTAGTTGAGGCATCTAATTATGAAAGGCCAGGGAGGCAGGAACCCCTAAAATCTAGCCATGCTTTGCCATTTCCTGCTTCTCTGATACTATCTGAGGTTAGTGTCACTTTCCTGCTGTTTACAGTGTCCAAGTAGCCCTCATTTTGAAGATCCCACGCATCTTCCCACGAACTCCACACACTATGGAAAGCCTTTTGCAATTGCTTTTATGAGCCAAATACTCATTCAACAGGCACCACATCATCACTCTGCCCCTATTATGCACCAGCCAGGCACACAAATAATTTCCACCCCCTTCTCAACCAAAGGAAGTGTTTGTCATAGGCAAAATCCAGCCAGGAAGAGTATAGTCCCTCTTTGCTGTTTTGTTTCAACAGACACCCTAGGGATTGAACTCAGGGCCTTTGCACTGAGCTACATCTACACCTCCCCCCCTAGTTCTTTTAATTTTATGACAGGGTCTCTCTAAACTGCACAGGTTAGATCTTCCTGCCTCAGGCCCTCAGAGCCCTGGAATTACAGTTGTGTGCCACCATGCCCAGCTTAATGTTTTTGTTTTTAACTTACTGATTGGTTTTTGAGACAGTCCCTCTCTGTAGTCCAGGTTGGCCTTAAACTCACTATGTAACCCAGGCTGGCCTGGAGCTCTTGCTGGTGGTCCTCCCTCAGCCTCCTGTGTGCTAGGATTAAAGGCGTGTACCCAGATCTTTTTATTTATTTTTTTATTTTTTTGGTACCGGGAATCGAACTCAGGTCTTTGTGCTTGCGAGGCAGGTGGCAGAACCACTGAGCTAAATCCCCAGCCTTTTTTTTTTTTTTTTGAAACAAAGTGTCCCTATGTTCCCCAGGCTGGCATACAATTCCTGAGTTCTGGTGATTGTCCCTCCTCATTCCTCCTCATCCTCTAGAGTAGCTGGGACAACAGAAGGCGACCGCACACCCAGGCCCATTTGAGGTGTGTTACAGGCATGAAGAACCCTTTGTGTGCCTCCTCTGGCTCCCAGGAACCAGGCTGTCCTCCACGAAATCCACCCAGAATAAAGACGTGACACTGTCCCACCACACGTCAGGACTTTCTGAGGGACAGCTCCATTCTAACAGCGTCCTTGGCTCCCACGTGGTGACTGACCCTTGCTCACAATGACTCCAGCCTGTTGAGTGCTTGCTGAGCCAATTGTGATGAGATCTTTCTTAAGGCCATTTTGGAGGGGAAACTGCAGAGAGGTCCTGGGCTGTAGCAGCTTTGAGTTTATTGGAGCCTCTGAGACCTCAGGTGTGGAGGACCCAAGGGCACTTGACAGTGGCAGTACGAGGTGCTCAGTAGGGTCATCTCACAGGCTGTCTTTGTGCTTCCCACGGGCAGGGAAAGCAGGGCGTCAACTTTCCAGAACCTGGCTCAGCTTGTTTTCAGGTGTGTGCTGCAGCTGGTTCTGAGCTGTGAGAGGGAAGGGAAAGCCAAGACGGACAGGCCCAGGCTGGCTGGGGACTTTCCGCTGTGTCAGGGGCAGGGGACAGGCTCCCAAGCCTCAGCCTGTATTCCCCGGGATACGTGGCTTTTTCTGTTTTGTTTTTTGTTTTTTATAGTATTGAGGATTCATCAGGGCCTCGGGTCTGCTAGCAAATTGCTCTAGGACTGAATTCATCCCCAGCCCTCTTTTTAATTTTTATTTTGAGACAGAGTTTCACTAAGCTTCCCCAGTTTGCCTTGAACTTGGGATCCTCCTGCTTCTGCTTCCCAAGTAGCTAGGATTTGTATGCCACAGCCCTCTCTCCCCACCCCCGCAGGGTCTCACTATGTAACCCAGGTTGGCCTCAAACTCATGATCCTCTTGCCTCAGCCACCCAAGCGCTGGGATTCCAGGTGTGCCATCATGCCTGGCACCTGGATGCTTTTAAACTAAGGAATAATTTGGACACAGTAAAATCCACCCTTTTTAGTGTGCAGTTCTGAACATATACAGTCTTGCAACCACCACCACAATCAGATACAGACATTTCCATCATCCTAAACATTCCTCTCTGCACTATTTGTGGCAGATTTCCAGCCCCAGATAACTACTGATCTACTTTCTGTTCTCTTTTTGTCTTTTCCAGGTCATAGAAAATGGAATCACAGTGCCCTTTGAGTCTAGCTTCTTTCACAAACAGTGTGTTTGAAGTGCCTGTACAGTGTTGCCTGTACCCAGAGTGCATCCCTTTTTATGGCTGCATAATATTCCATTGCGTGGGTGGATCAGTTTCTTTATCTATTTAGCCTTTGAAGGTCATGAAGTTTTTTGTTTGGGCTTGGCTTGGTTTATTTCCACTACTGGGGACTGAACCTGGGGACACTCTAACACTGAGCTACACTCCCAGCCCTTTTTATTTTTTGAGACACATTCTCACCATGTAGCCCAGGCTGGCCTCAAACTCTAGATCTTCTTGCCTCAGCCACAGAGTAGCTGGGATTATAGACATGCACCCACCAAGGACATACTGCTTTTAACTCATGTTGGTAACTATTCATAAAACCTCAGTTCAGATAAAGCCCTATTGTTCTGAGGACCCACTTTGTTTCAATGGAACACGAGTGTCCCTTGAGGGGACTCCTGTGGCTGTCGTGTTTTGGAGACTGAGCAGAAGGTAGAGGTGAAGAGAGCAGTAACAAGACTGTGCCAGTTAACTGTATCACCATCTAAGTCACACCGAACACCAGCTGCTCACCAGGAGCACTGAGGGCCAGACATCGGCATTTCCGTCACCCGGACTCCGGGGGCGGGTCACATAACCGCGCAGAGTCTCGGTCTCCCTAGCTGGACACTGGGGTAAGAGAGTCCTGTGTGGTACTGACAGGGCAGCCCCAACTCTTGGGGTGGTTCTGCAATTCCATGAGCTAACAGAGGGTCAGTAGCAAGTGCTCCCCTGAGCACTTGCCCGGCATGCACAGGCCCTGAGGTTCCGTCCCCAGCACCAAAAACACTAACAAAAAAAGAAAAACTGAGAGCTAAAACTCATGGAGCTCATGGAACAAAATTGAGGGTCAGGGATTTAGCTCAGTGGTGCTGCTGCCTGTCTTATAAGCTCAACGTCCTGAGTTCGATCCCAGGTACAAAAAAAAATTCCATCTCTTGATTGGCCATGTCAATGTTAGCTGTTTTTTTCTTTCTTTTTGTTTGTTTGTTTGTCTGAGATGGGGTGTCAGTACCACGTAGCCCAGGCTGGCCTAGAACTCAGGAAGGCCCCCCTGCCTCAGCCTCCTGGGTGCCAGGACTACAGCCGTGGGCCACTACACCCAGCTTCACTGTTTTCGTAATGACATTCATTTCCTGGCCCCTCTCAGTTTGATCCACATAGCGACACCAAACGATAAAATCTATTATCTCCATTTGGCAGAGGACAAACAGGCAGCATAGGAGGTCATCACGCAAAAGCATCCACGCGATCGCTAAGTAAACAGTGGGTCCATCTAGGATTTGGGCCGGGGGCACTGAGCCCAGATTCGCCGCTAGTTCCTCAGTCGGTCAAGGTCTCCGCACATGTTAAAATATAACCTCCCTCTCCCCGCCATTTTATATCTTACTTCCGGGTTCTTCCCCGACTGAGTCCTTTCTCCCGCCGAAATTGTAAAGCGCGAAACTAGAGCTTCTGCAAGGCGCGAAATTCAAAAGGCAACCTGGCTTGCGATAGGATAACAAAGACCGCTTCTCCCAAGGAAGGATCTTCCGTTGCCTGCCCTATAAATATCCCAGTACTTCCTCTTCTGGCTCTCTCGCTCTCTGCCTTCCTGCCTCCTGCTCTCCTCCCTACAATAAAGATCTCCTGCCGGACCTCTCGGTGCGTGAGTGGCATAATTGGGCAAGGGGCACCCAAAGGGGGCTCGAGACCCCTTTCAGTGTATGTGTGCGTGTGTTTTAATATCCATCTCAGGGCTAGGTGAGGAGCTTGGCCGTGAGCACTTGAATATTGTGTGCAAGGCACTGAGTTCCATCCCCAGCACTGCAAAAAAATAAAATAAACAAAACATAGGAGATTTCAGGGACTTGGTTTACATCCTTTGAGGGCTGGCAAGTCTGAGGATGGAAATGGGCAGAGCCGCGGCTTCTCCCACAGGGATCTGCAATGTTACCTCATCTGACCTCCACGCAAACTGGGTGAAGCCCACCCCACTATCCAGGGTCTTCCCCTGAGCTACAGTCAGGATTGCAGTCCAGATGTCACCCACCCACGTCTACAGGGACCTGGACAGGGACACCTACATCTCATCTACCTGAATCATAAGGCTCTGGCCCAGAGCTCTCTGCTCTGGCTTCTCTGGGTGCAGAGCTCCAGATCCAGAGGTTTGGCAGAGGCCAGGTTTGTAGCAAAGTTCTGAAGTGCCCCGGTGGGGCCCAGGGCAATTTGGCTTAAGGACAGTGATTGGTTTTGTTTGGTGTTCGGGGTTTTGCTGTTGTTAGGTCCTGGAGATGGAACCTGAGGCTTCACAGCTGCAAAACACACACTCTACCATGCGCTACATCCTCAGCTAGATTTGATATTTTTGTGTTTTTTTGGTTGATTGGCTTTTTGTTTTGGGTTTTTTTTGTTTGTGTTGCTGTTTCTTGAAACAGGGTACCTAGGCTGGCTTTCAATATTCAAATCTCCTGCCTCAGCTTTCCCAGTGCTGGGATCATAGGCATATATACCACTACGTCCAGCTCTCAGTTTGTTTGTTTTTTTTTTAATTTTTGATTTGGTTTGTTTTTGTTTTTGTTTTTTTTCAGTACTGGGGATCAAACTCAGGACCTTGCACTTGTGAGGTAAGCTCAGTGCCACTGAGCTAATTCCCTGAGCCTCAGGGTTTGTGCGTGAGCATGTGTGCCCGTGTGTGCGTGTGTGTGTGTGTGTGTGTGTGTGTGGTACTGGGGATTGATCCCAGTGCTTTCTCACTGAGCTATGTCCCCAGCCCTTTAATTAAAAAAACAAAACAAAACTTTTCTTTTGGTACTGGGGATCAAACTCGGGACCTTGTGCTTGCGAGGCAGGCAGTGGAGCCAAAAGGCTTACCCAGCCCTAAAACCTTTACAAAACAAAAACAGAGTTTTGCTAAATTGCCCAACCTGGGTTTGAACTTTTGATCTTCCTGCCTTAGCCTCCGGAGTGCTGGATTTTACAGTCATGCACCCTACATCCAGCCACAGAGCCACTATACAGCCTCAACCTCCCAGCTTGGTCTTCCAGGAACCCCTTCTTTCCTAGGCTCTTCTCGGCGGTACCCCTTTCGAGCTCCTTTCCCCACAGGCACTCCGACTTTCAGAGTCCAACAGGATCACTCTGGCCTACAGAAAGAGGACCTCTGGGGACTAAGCTCGGTCAGGGCCTGCCCAGCCCCCTTCCTCCAGCCCCCGTCCTGGCGGCAACCTCAGAGTGACACTGAGCAGGAAAGCCAAACCGAAAGCTATTTTCAGGTTGAGTGGCAATTTTTCTCTACTTCTCTTTATGTTTTTTGGATTTTGAGACAGAGTTCCACTATGTAACAGGCGAGCCCTGAACTCACTCTGTAGCCCAGGCTGGCCTCGCACCGAGCGATCCTCTCCCAGGTCTCTAGGGTGAAAGAACCCTCTCCCAGATTTCTAGGGTGTTGTGGAGTGAGGGACAAGGGAAGCCTTTGACTCCAAATGCACTGTCCCCGCAGAAAGTAGAAGACGGCTGGTAAGCTCTTCTCGTCATGTGTGGGTGGGCTTTATACCGTCTCCGGGACGCGCATCCCAACCTAAAGAACCATGCGGGCGTGGGGGGTGGGCACGACAGGGCAACTGAGGTACCGAAAGAAGGTTGCGATTGGCTGTCGTAGCAGGGTGGGCGGGACTCTCTGCCTAGTGCGTGCGCCGCGGGGAGGCGTTGCCAGCGCAGAGCAGGGAGGGACGTGACCTCCGGCGGACAGCGGTTGGCGGTAGGGCCCCGCCCCGGATGTCAACGTCACTGATATGGCGGATGCGATTGGCTGGCGCAGCTCGGAGGGCGGGGCGGAAGG